AACAAAAAATATGAACATTCTATCGGTAATGATTTAGTCAATATGTGTATCCTCTTATGTTTTGCATCCTACATTACGTACAATCAATGAATTAAACGCTAAAGAAATTATTGCGTTTATGTCAATGTTTATTGCCAATCTTCTTCACTTTCTTTTTTTTATTCTTTTGGCTCTAACTTAATGAAACTAGGCTGTTGCACGTTCTGTGGTTGTGACCACTTTCACCACACCTACCACATATGACAACTATGTTTACTTCATAGGCTGATCTGAATCTCTTCTTAGCGGGCCTTCCACAACTACACTTTTGATTAGGTGCTAGTACAACTATGTCATGCACATCATTTGTCACTATCCATTCAACTGGATTTTCGATAGGAAAATGGTTTCTTGGTATGTATATCTGTATGCTTAACTTGTGTAGCAGTAAGAACAGTATTCATATGGATCAATCTTCATACTTGCAAACACAACCAAAGCGTGTGGACAAGGCGGTTGATCAACTTAAAGCATTCTACATGTGCATGTGCATGCGCATACGCATTTTTTTTTATCAACAATGAAATATGAACTTTCACCACTAACTGAGAACATTGCCCGATTGATAGGAGAAACCTACATATTTAAGAGGTCACAGCACAAGTCACAGATCTTAAAACTGGTCACAACGTATTTAAGAGGGAAAAAAACCCAAAATTTCTACAATATAGTTTAGGTTACAAAGAAGATATCGAAATTCACAGATTACAAATTAGGTTACAACATTTAACTTTACTCCTAAGTTTATCATATCAGTGCTCATTTCCTTCATCTGCTTCTCATACTTGCTTGACAAGGTCATGAAAGTACCTTGCGCGTTCTCCTTATGTCTACAGAACTAAGACCGTATGATTTATTGCAATGAATCCAACAAAGCTAAAATAGGATAATTCTTGGCAAACTTTGTGACCGCATTAACTGACTCCATGATGTTCGATGTCATTGTAGAATATTAGATTGAAAGGTATGTGGTGACCATCTCTCAGGTCCAACATCGTTCTACAAACAAAAACAGGGAGACGTATATCATATAATGTACAGTATCATAATAAATGTATTTAAATGAATATATATTGCTGATAATCTGTAGTATATTACTAGGTAACCCCTTATTTTCTCATTAATCGAGTCGAGTTGTTGCATGTTTTTTTTTGTATTCCGACAATGTGTAAGTGCAAACAGCTGCATTGAATACTTGTGTTATATTTTGACCCGATCTTTTGTAACGTGATTTCAAATTTTGTAGCAGATGGTACGAATATATCTTATGACAAGTTTCTGGATACATGTTTTCAATTACCTTTTTGATGTTATGACGATTCGATATAAAGCACAAACCTTCTCTTTTCACATAGGCTTTCTTCAACTGTCCGAAAAATTATGACACCAAGAGTTATCAGTCTCGATATTCCTAATTCCAAATACATATATGCTGTTATTTACATCTTGAGTACGTATTGTGAATAAGATCCCACCGTAGTGTCCATTAAGTTATGTGCCATCAACCACAATAACTGACCTATAATGCTTCCATTCCCGTATAACTTTGACCATCAATTTTTAAACTTGTGATAGTTTCAAGATTTGTTTGTTGCAGCATAAAAAGAATCTTGGTATCTTTTTAAATGAATTAGTTGGATCACCCCTTAGCACTTTCAAAGTTTCCTCTTGAGATCGCCAAGCTTTGACATAGTTCAATGATACTCCATATGTATGCAGAATGTCGTTGCATGTATAATTCAACGTGTATATGGGCGACGATGTGTACTTGTACTTAATGCAGGTTGACACAATTGTCTTTGTTAATTGTCTATGAGTACCGAGTATAATGTTTGCAGCATATGTGTGATCTCTCGCAATATGTCTGATTTTAAATATATCTGTTTTGGCTAACTTTGATACTCTTCCTTCCCCTATCTCCCTAGCACTTCGACCGCCACAACTGTTACCTCATGTTCAAACTTGTCACTTGATAGCTCCACTATTGCTCCACATATATCCAATGACATATCTGTTAATGAAAAATCATATTCATTAGATTGAACATCAACTGATACCGCAATAGACTATTTTTAGCTATCTGCAGTTGTGACCTCAATGTGTATTAGATATTTCATGATCCATATCCTTCAAAACCATGTATGACAACACATTATTGCCACTCTTGATTGTTATCAGAGGCATATCACTATTCAAGATACACTTCATCGTCACAGCCACTTTTGCAGGTTCCAAGCCAAATTCTGTCATAACTGTATCAACAAACTTCATATACCTGCAATTGTGATCAATCAACGCTAATGAAATTTGTGAGCCTTTCAACAAACAAACATGAATGAACCTCAATTCTGCAAAAATGAACCGAAACATAATCGATCACATATTACAATGATAGTCACAACAAATGAATGTCGAAGCTCATATATCATGGTTACATACTGAATACATGCATGTCATATGTTCGTATTAAATCACAATGCATGACATATTTTTTCACAACAACAAAGTGTGGAACGCATATGATTAGATTCAAGCAATAGCATTAACATCACATGCCACATATTCAATTGAAGAAAAAGTCATATTATGGTATAATTGTAACAGCACAGTTGGTAGACATTTTTTCACAGGTGTTATGCAACACTTGTATGTTAAAGTTGGCTAAGTCACAGATTTTGATTACATATTCAGAAGTTCTTGGGCAATGGTCACAGCACATGTCACTATTTATTGTATAACATTCACAGTACATTCACGACCATGTTTTGCACATATGGCACACAAACATCCACACGCCATGACTACATAAGGTCACATTCAATAATTAGACAGTCATAGGTTATGTGTAACGATCACAACACGTTTCGAATCAATGAGTCTTGTTTATGATCACAATTCCCAAATAAGTTAGATATGTTCCTCGATTATGATGTGATCCATATTTGCATACAATCATAGTTTCATCGCTCGATGCTCATGAAGTAGGAAGAAACGACAAATTACAGTAAATTAATTGTAATTACATACCTGATCAATACAAACATTCTGAATTCAATTTGAAGTAACATATCAGCATCTACTTGACGAACTTGTGGGTTATTTCGATGTAATGCAACAGCGCGACTGCAAATTGTGACCCAGACTATGCGATTACCGTCAACTGTGAGAGCTTCGAGAGAGTATGTAGGCAATCTCAGATCTCTATGGCTTTTACTGTCAGCTGGAGTGAAGAATTTTAATGTATGGAGAGTCCGATTGTTTTTGTAAGTATAGTTTTTTCTCTCAAATAAATTAGTATATATATAGGCATTTATAGATGAATATCTGATTTTTGAAATTTCAAACTCGTTTTCTCATTATTGAAATGGGCTATACTTATGCTCATGTTTATGAAATTTTTCCTTATTTTATAATCCAATAGTAGGCATAGAACTTTAAAATTTTTCCATATATGTGATTTTAGGGATAATAGCCCAAATGGTCACTAAACTTTGCCAAAGGTCCACAAGGGGTCATTGAACTTTAAAATTCACTCAATCCATCACCGAACTTTGCATTTGTAACCCATTCATCACTTAGCTCATAGTCCGTCCAAAAATTGACGGAACGATGACATGGCTGCAAACGTGGCTTCATGTGTCAACTGCTGGGTGCCATTTCATGAAAGTGCTACACATGTGGACATGTTAACTTCAAAACATGTTTTACTTAAAAAAAAAAAAAAAAAAGAAAAAAAAAAAACAAATGGTGGATTCTCCAAAATCCAAACCATCCCCGTTTCTCTCTCACAAACAGAGAAATGAAATCCCCAAATCAGCTAGAACCCTAAATCCCAAATCTCCCAAATGGTAAAACCATTCCTCGCGGACTAGAATTGAGCTACCTAAACGTTATTTCGTCTCGCCATCATGCTTCGTTGCAATCGCATCAAGGTCTGTTAAACAAAATAGTTTCCTGTTTCACTCTCATTCGTTCATCTGAATATGGCTTCTTCATCAAATACAAACTATAGCATAGGCACGGTCATATGTTATTGCAAAGAGTTATCCATTTTGAAGACGTCGTGGACCGACGATAATCCAAGAAGAAGGTTCTAGGGATGTATCAATTACGGAACTTCAAGTGGATGTGATTACTTTAATTGGTTTGATGATCCTATAGCTTTCAGGCAAAAAGATGTAATCTTAGGTTTGCTTCGAAATATACGGAGACTGGAAGCTGAGAATAATGCTGTACATTTGGAGGTTCGAAATAGAAGAATTCAACGTAATGAAATTACGCAAGAGGATCTAGAGCTGTCTATTTTACGTGATCTTCGAACCATGGTAGAGGGGCTTTGTCGAGATACAAGGTTCTACCGCATTGGATTCTATAGGTTGTTGATGTTGGTTGTAATTTATTTTATTATCTAATCGATGTTGCTTCATGTGGAAGTGGGAAAATAGTGGCGAAGTGGAAACTGGTGAATGTGTAGTTAGTTTAGGAATCTTATGATGTTTGTAATCTAGGAAATGTATTGATGGTTGTAATGTTTATGTTCGGTAATGGAAACTCGTGAATCATTTAGTCTAGCTGGTTGTTTACATTTGTATTTTTTCACCGTCGGAGATAGAGAGATTAACTAATCAAATGGGTTTACGGCTGTCAAAGTTAAAATAATTAATGGCATAAAATCAATAAGATACATAGTATGGACCAACATGATTATGTCATTCAATACAAAGAATTACTTCTTTACATTTAGTACACCATTCCAATTACTACAACATTTCAATGGTGTCATCCTACCATAATTACATCATAATCTTGGATGCCTATCTTTTAAAAAATTGCATTAAAGGTTCCTTAGACAAAAAGAGCAAATAGGCTGCAAGTGGCTAACTTGAATCCCCTACCAAATCTCCCTTAAGACATTCACAAAAAGAAGTTTACATTCACAAAAAATTCTAGTAAGTGGTACCTTATAGGCTGCATTCTAGCCCCTCAAAACATCCAGCTCCAACTCCAAGTTGTTGAACTTCTTGACAAATGTGAAAATAGTAATATAAGCTGATTTGAAATCATAGACAAAAATAAATAAAACAATTAACTAATGCAATAATTCTGACTACCTCATTAGAACTCCCACATGCATCAGAAACTATTGATGCCTTGGTGTTATGATGACGTTTGTTATGCCCCTACTCCCCACACACCGAACATGTCATATACGCAGCACCTTTATTTTTTGTCGACACTTGTGACTGTGATTAAGACACTTCAACTTCTTCGGGTCCTTTTATTATCTTTGTTTGCTTTCTTCCCTTAGTAGCTACATACCATGGTGGAGGTAGCATAAGAATATTAGATTCAGGCCACAACTCTTTTCCTTTGATGGGGTTTATAACATTTTTATACGTCGCCATGTATGTTTCAACCTTAAACAATTCTAAAACATAAACATCTATGTCGTGACCTTTATCCAAGATGCATGCAATCACATGTAGACACGGAATCCCAGATATCTGCCATCTTCTACATGTGCAAGTTTGATTCTCCATATCGACTACAAATTCCCTGTATGAACACTCAACTTGATATTGATGTACCCCATTCCATTTCAATATACATTCACGAGCTGCTTCACTAGCTTGCTCTAGTTTTTTTTTTGTTTTTGGGACAGATAGGTTTCTTTTAATTTCTTAATTTATCCCGTTTCACGTGAATTCGATGCATCGGTTTGTTCTGAATTCCAATCAACATGGTGAGTACGGATTTGTCTTTGTCTTCTAGGACGAAGCTGTTGAAGCACTCACACAGGTTATTAAGAAACATTTCACACTTCGATTGATCAAAGAAGTGAGATCTGCTCCACTCACTCGGTAATTTTTTCATCAGCCATCCATACGCCTTCTCGTTAGCACTTTCAATCTTCGACATCCAATACTTGAAAGATCCCAAATGGCTTGACTTTGCAGCACCCCATAAACAATCCTTCAAATTTTTACCGTTGAAGCCACTCCTAAAAAAATTCTGATACATGTGCCTAACACAGAATCGATGTTCTGCTTTTGGAAACAAATTCGCCACAACATTAAATAATCCTTTTTGTCTATCACTCATGAAGGTAATGGATAACCTATTCTCCATAGCTAGGTCTTCAGACAACATCACAAACCATCGCCATGAACTGGTGTTCACTTTTTCAACAGTGGCATATGCTATTGGATATATACGATCGTTGGTGTCTACCCCAATTGTTGCTAGAAGTTGCCCATCATATTTTCCTTTCAAAAAACATCCATCTATACTGACACAATGCCTACACCCCAGCAGAAAACCCCTCTTACACGCCTCTATGTAAATATAAATACCCCTAAACACATTTTCGACATGAGCAATGATCACAGTAGAAACAGAATTTGTTCTCCTCAATTCCTCGGCATAACTACCTAACTTCTCAAATTGTAATGCGTCATTTCCTGATATTAAAACTTTTGCATATTTCCTAACATTCCATGCAACTGATTTTGTAATATACACTCCCAAATCCTTTCTCACTCTAGTTCTGAAATGCTGTGTCTTCCATTGAGGATCGATTGCAAAATCATCCAATTAATAATCGGCAAGCCACTTATATGTTACGTACTTATTTGTACGTACCTCAAGCAAGTATGTTTAGGGTCATATGTTTTTATTTGTACTGTGTCTTCACCTTGTAGCTTAGACGCCCACAACATCCATGGACAACCATCTTCACAAGTACAATGCACTTGACTCTCATCATTTCTCTTGAAAATTGGCTCAACCCGATTGAAGACAGCGTAATTTCAAACAACTGATTTCAATTCCTCAAAAGAACCAACAAATAATCGTATCTCAAGACGTGGATTTCTGTTTTCATTTTGAGGAAAATATTCAGGAAAATTATGTGTACCGTTGTTTTCCTCCAAGTCCGAACCATTACCAAATTTTAGTTCTTCAGAAGATACATTCGACGAGCTATCTACTTCTAGGGCTTCTTCATCATGTAGCGCTCTATGCATATCCATTTCGATCCCTTCGGTAACGTTACAATCAAACAAAATATCATCATCATCGTATATATCGTGGTCAGAGTTGTGAAAGTCTGGATCATCATCAATCAGAATGTCTGCAAATGTAACGAACAAAAAAAATTAATAAAGAGATCCAAATTTATCATAATAGCACATTAATTAAAATAAATCCACTTTACAAATTTTGGAGAAAATGTCAAGAATGTCTTCTATGCTATGAACAATAAATCAAAAGGAAGAAGAATGCAATGAACGCTGGAGAACAAAAGAAATGGTTATTTATGCTTACCCATTGATTATTG